GTAACTTGCTTGCTACATCGTCAATGTTGTGGGTCGTGATTGGTTTTCGCCTTGGCATATCTGTTGCGTCAGTTAAGCGACGACGAACACATACATGGACGGGGCCGCGGTCCCAAACACGAAATCACGGCATGGAGCAGATAGCCTACCACCCCTGCTAAACCGCATACATACACTTTCAAGTAGAGGGGGCTTGATCTGTCAAGTGGTGGTGCCAATTTTATCCTCCCGGACGACGGGCTAACCCCATAATTGTCGCCGTGCGCGCCACGGGAACGTGACAATTTGACGAGATTATTCGTTTCAGCATATCTCATTACTTGATATCCAGCAAGGGAAAGCCTACAAAAGACGACCTTGCAAGGGGCTCAAGGCATTGTGACGACAGTCTTCTTCTATCCAGTCTTGTTGCGTGCGACGAGTCGAAAAACACTCACTGTCCGATGGCAATGGGCTCACACGCTGCAGTGGACATGTCGCCTTGCATGGGAAATGCCACACTGTCAGGGATTCCAAGCCACCAGCGAAAAGATGGACATGTATTTCCGGAATGATCTCTTCTCTTGTTGCGAGGCAGTCGACAGTCGACAAAGCGGGCGACTGATGAAAGCCACCAAGGCAACCTGAGCGCCGCTGCACTGACCGTATATGCTACCATATTCCCTCCGTACGTATGTGCCAAGGCATGTACATTTCGGAGCCCCCGCCGCCGACATCTGCCCAGGCGACTCCAATGAAGCACACCGTGCTCCGTAGTACCATTAACAAGCGTATGCCAAGTTCCTCAGTCCTTGTTGCCTGAGCTAAGGAATCCTAATGGAGTGATTCTTCACCCCAAGAATCCGGAGCCGAGCTAACGGTTCCCCCAACTCCACTAGACAGGTACATGCTTTGTACGGAGTATGCTGATACGATATGCGCGCCAACATGGATGGGGGTTGCAGTGTTGTCTGGTTCGTTGGAAGCCGAAGCACGAAGGACGATTGGGTTCGTAGCAGGGGGGGACTGTTCTTGGTGGTTCTGTTCTGGAGTAATAAAGCTATTAATCCTGACGCATCCCTTTTCGTTGTGTCTGTCCTACCTTGCCCTGGCAGAAGTTGTACTCCTGATTCTGTCAGTCGACAGAAGTTCTCATCCCCAGGTGCAATTGAACGCGATGTTGATGGCAATCCGACTTTGAAACGGATTGCGACAACAGTAAAAAAGGCCTCCCCTACAAGACAGCGAGTTAACGAGACCAGTCGACAGCCGAAAGCTCTACGATTGCTGCACGATTTTGAACTGCCCTATTTGCATCGCAACGGACCGTGACCAGACTTCAAGGAAGGAAGGAAGGAAGGAAGGAGCAAGCCTGCATCGTGGGACCAGCGGGCGGAAAGCACGACGCAGCTGATTGCCTGAGAACCCAACAAAACCCGCACACACACAGAGTACGACATCGGAACATTAGATGGTGAGTACTTTTGGATCAATCGCACATCGTGAATCCAGGGACTGAATTGTCCAACCCTGTCACCACATTCCCTTCGCAACCCAATTTGCTTTGCTCTTCATCTCGCCGCCAATCTGTCATCATGACCCGTCCAAACTGGCTTCTCCTTTTGGAGGCAGCAGATCCACGTGGGAGAACCACCCTGTTGGGTCGCACCACCTCCATCCCTTGGCCGGATTTCGGTGCAACAGCTGCGACCAACAAGGGGTGACATCTCGACCCGGCAGACTGGTTCGACCCCAAATGATTCTCGTTCGGTCAGACCCAACGCATCCGAGCTCCCACAAGTGCGTTGGGCTGAAGCGATGTTGGTGGCAGATGGGCGATTGACTCAACTTGGCGCACGCGCCCAGAGATGAGCCTTGCAACAACGGCTCGCCGGGAATGACACGCTTGTGCCGTTGTTCTGTCGCACCAAACAATGAAGCGATTTGCTCACTTGCTCACCTACCAAGTGCTGTGTGAGTGGCCCGCAGGTCCACGGACCGTTGTGCATATGTGGCTGTTACCAATTGCCACGCAACTACTCCGTACTATGGATGCGCTTTTCATTTCACCTGCGGCTTGCCCATTTCGCCTTGATGCTCCTTCGGATCAAGTGATCAGAGGAGGATGGTTGTCCCACTTGCAACAAGAGAGGACAGGCCCAAAAACCAGACCGTGTCATGTCGCATCTGTATTTTCACCGCATTTTTCGGATTCTTGTTGTGCAGCGAAATTGGTCTCTTGGTGCATATGTATTGTCGCGACTTTTTTAAACGAACAGTTGGAGTAACTATTAGTTTTGTCCGTCTCTAGTCTTCAAATCAATGGTCAAATTTCGTATACTAGCACCACCAGAACTCGGTCGACATAACCTTGAACCTTGAGCCTTGAATGACCATGGCTAAGTTCAAGGTACCTTCCTGGTTGCAAACAAGCGCAGCGGCAGAAGCCGAGAAGGAGAAGAAGAAGCAGAAGAAGCAAAACAGACGGTCGTTTGGTGGCTTTCCACAGCATACTCGAACAAAGCAACATGTGCCGGCCGCAACCAGGCCCCAGGCTGTTCACGAAGACTCAAAACCCGTAGCAAAGACACAAACAACAGAAACAACCCGGCTGGTAGCCCTGGCGAAAAGGATTACCGCCGAAGCAGAGAAGCTTGAGCAATATCTGAATGAAAATGATTTACCTCAGCCCGGATTTGGAAGCGATGCTCCGGGGGACTTTCCAGACTTGCCGCCTGAGATTCAGAAAAGTCGTCAAGACATTGTATACGCGACACGTGAACTAGGAACACTTGTTAGAGGACCACGAGAAAGCGTGCGATGGGGCGTCTGGAGCGTATGTGCAATTGAACCCTGCCAAGGGACAATGCTAACTGTTCTGCACATAGTATCTGGATACACTAAGCCTTCAAATTATCAACAGTTATGGCATTGGTAAGCTTATAGACGAGGGAATAACGTCGGCGTATTTTGTTCCACTGACCTTGTTTAGCCAAGCTTGTCCCCCTCAACAAGCCCATTCCTCTTTCAGATCTGCAAGCGAGAACCACGCTGGATCGCATTAATCTGGCGCGAATTCTTCGGCATGCCATGACTAATTACATCTTCTGCGAGCCCGAGCCCGGTTTAATAGCCCACACGGCTGCATCTCGCAAGCTGGCGGAGGACGGGGCTCTACAAGACTGGGTTGGATTCAACTCCGAAGATATCTTCCCGTCTGCCGCAAAGGTGCTCGAGTCTCTCAAGGAACACCCCGAAGCCACATCACTGACGACGACTGGCTTCAACTATGCGTTTGACACCGTAGATAAGGAGCCCATGTTTGTGACGTTCGGTAAGGATCCTGCTCGAGCGAAACGAATGGGAGGCGCCATGGCTAGCTTGACGGGCGGCGAGGGATATGAGGTAAGCCACTTTGTGGATAATTATGACTTTTCGCAGGAAGATAAGCGAGGGGGTACTTTCGTCGATATTGGTGGAAGCCACGGATTTGTGTCTGTGGACTTGGCAAAGAAGTGGAAGAACATGAAGTTTATCGTCCAGGATCTGCCAAAGACCGTCAGCAGCGCACCTAAGCCCATCTGCGATGATGAATCAGTCGCGGAGCGGGTTCAGTTCGAAGCCCACGACTTCTTCAAGGAACAGCCTGTCAAGGGTGCCGACGGTATGCACGCATGCTTTCTGCATTCTAGATGGCCCCAAAACTGACAACACCTCAGTGTATTTCTTCCGGTGGATTATCCACAATTACTCAACTCCATACGCTGTCAAGCTGCTCAAGAACCTCGTACCGGCCCTAAAGCCCGGCGCACGCATCGTCATCAACGACCACTGCTTGCGAGAGCCCGGTTCCGAGAACCCTTGGGATGAGAAGCTGATGCGCGGCATGGACATGATCATGCTGACCTTGCTCAATGCCCAAGAACGCGCGGAGCAAGAGTTCAGGGACTTATTCAAGGCAGCAGACGAGCGTTTTGTCTTCAAGGTGAGTGTTCCCCACAGACCGCTATTCCCTTTGCGACACTCGCGGATGCTAAGACATTCCAGGGTGTTACAAGAACGCCAGGTTGCAGAATGAGCGTTATTGAAGCCGTTTGGGAACCGACGAAACCTACAGCCAATGGGACAGCTAAACATGCCGACCCGGAGAGTACCGCGTAGTTAAAAATTGTTGCACGAAGTAATCGTGGCGTTAAGCAAAGACATGTGTATATTTTATCAAACGGGGTGTAATTGTTGTGACTAGTCTACTAAATGCCCACGCTTGATGGCATATAGCAATAGCGAGTTATATATTATCGAGGAACGGAAATTTTAAATATACTTAGGGTGGTAGTCCGAGGTTATATCAATAATTTAGATAGCCGTCGTGGCTTGCTACCTATGTTGGCTAGGCCTAACAAAGAAATGAACAACCAAAAGACGACCCTAGCATTTGCAGGCAGCGAGGAAGCCGCAAGACTATAGTAGCAAATAAACACGTGTCTTCAACAACCAGAAACAGCGTAATTGGTTTAGTGGTAAAATTCTCCGTTGCCATCCGAGCAACGTCGGGGAGCCCTGGGTTCGATTCCCAGATTACGCATTGGTTTTTCATTTTTTTTTTGTATTAAAAAAGTTTGCCTTTCTTGCGAAGCCCACTCATCAGGATTCAGGACAGACTAATAAGTGGCTGACTGCTGTAGTCAAAATCTGCCTAGGAGTAGAGATTTTTTCTTTTGTCTTAAGTGGGTTATTTCCTTTTATGCACCTACATGCCCACTCAACCGAGGTGTACTTCACGATGCTCAATCCTCATGCTTTAAGAAAGTCGAAGGGCAGGGACGGGCAAGTATGGCGCACCTGTGCAACTTCATGGGCGCTAGAATGCAAAGACCTATTTATTTGCGCACAATTCATACGTCAGGTAAGCTATTCATGTATCTAATGCATTCTGCCAGTCCGACGACCATACAACACCACATCAAAGGCGACTTCCCCGACGGCAAAATATAACAAACAGGGCCAATCAAGTTTTGCAGCTATGCCTTTTCGTATCCGCCTCTCTTCGCAATCATTTTTGCCATTTCCATAATCGTGTCGTTACTCAACACCTCAAACACCGATACTTCAACATTACAGTTGCTCAATACCCAATTCCTGACTCCAACGGCGACCAGGGAATCAACGCCGTACGCACTTGGGGGCTTGTTCGCGTCAACTTCTTCAGGGAGCAGATTCGTAGCCTTGGCGAGCATGTTGGATAACCCGAGGCGGATGAGCTCAACTGCACCTTCTGTGCTGCCGCATCTCGCCAGGAGCAACTTCATGTTCATTCCTTGTAGTTCATTCGAGTCATCGAGGTCTGGTGGTGGCATGTCTATCAAGTTCAGGTAGGAGTAGAGCGCGGTGCGTGACCAATATGGGTCTGCTGGCTTGTTCTGACGCAGCAAACCGCCTGTTCCTACCCCGAGAATGATCTGAGCCGGCGTGGTGGCGCCCGAGGGGCCTATTTCCCTTGTGATGGCGTGCTTGATAACAGTAAGGAAGTCATCATGGCGGATGCCGTAGAAGCCTGCGGCGCGGAGCTTGTCCAACATGTCGTCGTCCTCGGCGAGCATGCCTGCTCCAAGAACGGGGCCTAGATCGATTGATACTGCTGGGACGCCTTGAAGGAGACAATGATGTGCTAAAGCATCCTTGAAGCTGTTTCCAGCTGCGTAATTGGCTTGTCCTCGATTGCCAATGATCCCGGCTGAACTGGCCAAGAAGACAAAAAATGGCTTGCTAGTCAAGTCCGCCATTGTCTTGACTAGGTTCCAAGAACCTTGTGTCTTTGGCTTGAATGCGGCATTCCACATTTGATAGGTCATGTTGTCAAACACTGAGTCTTGGATAACAGCAGCGCATTGAAATACTCCTCGAATAGGAGGCATCTGAACAAACAACTGATTCTTCATGACTGCTGATAGAGACGCCTCGTCACAAAGATCAGCTTGATAGACTTTTGCATTAACACCCTTATTTTGCAAGTCCTCGATGAAGTCACGGGATTGACTATTGGATGTGCCTGATCGAGAGACAAATGCCAGATGCTTTGCGCCATTGGCGATGAGAAGCTCGGCGATGCTTCTTCCCAGACCACCGAGTCCACCCGCCAGCAGATATGTTCCCTCAGGATCGATGGCGTCGCTTAGAGACTTGGAATTGTTGTCATAGAGAACTTTAACTTTCTGATTTTCTCCCGAGTTAGCTGAAACTGTGCAGAGGCCTTGATATGGATGTTTCTGAACATGTTTCAGCGCCTTATCAAGCGAGTCTATAGAAAAATCCTTTGCCGATGAGGTCAAAACTGTATCATCAAACTGCTTCTTATCCAGGAACTCGGATGCGGATTCGAGTAGTTCTGCTATAAAATCCGCGTCTTCTCGCAGCAGACGCCGCAGATCGAAGTTAACAGCAGTAGCAAGGCTCGTTGAGTCGAAATTGCGTCGAATAGAGTACTGGCTGCCACCGACAAGCCGCACAATTAAGCCGCCTAGAAAGTTAGAACCAAAAATGCTATACAGTGATGGTCTTGGGGATGTTGGCTTACAATCTTTGACACATTTCTCAACACCATTCAGACCATCTTGCGACGTGCTGTAAAGAATATCCACGCCTCTACCATCTGTCATTGTTAGGAGGTATGGAATAAACTCGTCCTCGGCACTGAAGATTGTGTCTGAAGTCAATCCACAGCCCTCAAGAATCTTCCGCTGACTATCGAGGTCCTGCCCGACAACTGTCGCAAATAACTTGAGCCCCAGAATTCTGGCAAGCGCGATAGCCGCAAGGCCATACGCACTCGCTCCCGCATGAATGAGGACCGACTTGCCTGGTTTTCCCCTGCCCATATGGACAAGTGAGTAGTATGCGCTAATAAGCTGACTTGGGAACAAACTTGTACTGTGACGCTGAATGAAGGGAAATTTGAGCCTAAGCGTGCTTTGAATACTTCCATCAGATACCAGCCCGGTCACTTTGTCTCCAGGGAGTAACTCTGTCACATTTCGTCCGACTCTGGTGACGGTTCCTCGCACATCGAGGCCAATGCTAGATTCAAAGTTGCGTCCAAGGGCTGTTTCGACATCCTGAGGTATGAGAAGGGTCTGACTAAACTTGATGTCCACTTCGTCGGGAAGTATGTCTGTTTGAGGTATTTCAGTGTAATGCCACGAGTCATCACACAAACCCGCCTTGGCAATAGAGAGCTTCACCTCTGACATATCCTCTGGGCAAGCTTCGTCGCTGTGGAAAGGCCGATTTTTGAGGATACCTGGAGCCATCCCTTCAATGATTTGATTCAGGCCCTGAATTGTTCTTAGCCGGGGAATGAAGACTTTGCCATCCTTTTCCGCATACTCCATCTCAGGACAACCCGGTCTCGCTTCTTCGCAGAAAGTCTGAGAAAACACAGCCATGATATTCTTTATGACTGTATTGTCGCATATGTTCGTGGCAACATCTAGGTCAAAAGTGACAATGACCTTGCGGGGGTCCTCAGACATAAGAGTTCTGGCTAGACCAATAATCGACGAGCCTTGCAGGTTGTGAGGGTTCATATGCGAGCCTCGGGTCAGCCAAATCATTCCCTTTGCTGCTTTCTGAATTTCCTTGAGCAAGTTGAAGTGGAATTCATCCCATTGCAGAATGGAGTAGTGTTGATCATGCGAAGGGCAAACGTCAAGTAGTGAAAGAATGACTGATTTCTCAACGAGAGAGGCATACTTAAGAATTTCTTGAGTATTCAATGCCGATACCTCGTATTCTTGGGCAGACTTGGTCTGGTAGGACTTCACAAGGTCAACTAAGGCCGAGACCTCGTCATTCGCCTCCTCTGGCACAAGTAAAATGAGTGGCGGAGCCGATGAGCCCAGCAACGCAGCAGGACGCCTGTACACAACTGGGTCGATAGAATGTTGTTCGTCAACATTGCCATTGACGGGGGTGTAGTGGTTGAGTGACCAAGACTTGAGTTGCATGAGTACGCCTCCAACCTTGAGTCTGTCCTTCAGTTGCTTCAGCTCTAGACCGAGATCATCGAACGAGATGATGAGATGATAGTTGGAGTTGATATCCGCCATGTTATTTTTGCACTCCACGAAGCATTCTGCAGGACTTTCTTTCACTTTATTCATCAACTCGTGGAAAGTATCCGAGTCCTCGTGTCCCATCAAAGTGAATTTCGACAGAGATGGCGCGTCATCTTGAGCCGGAGCAAGGAGTTTCAGCAGCTCTGCTGCGTCCTCTGTAGAGCCCCCAACCTGCAAGACGACTAATCCTGGATATTTGTGAGCTAGAATACGGATTTTTTGTATGACATCAGTGGACGAGTCGAAGGTGGCGTCTTCTCGCCAAACAATCTCGGTGCACAGGTTTCGAAAGTTTGGAAGAAACTTCTCTTCCGAACCTGTAGACTGAAGAGCAGTCAAATACAGTCCATTCACGATGACTCGAGTCTTGGAGGTGCCGCAGCCATTCATGACAATCTTTGCAGAGGCACCTTGTAGTCCGACACGGTTAGCGGTCGCGAAACCGGAAAACAATTTTGGACCATCCTGATCAATGCCGCTCGATACGAAAAGACTCTTGATAAAAGTTGGAACCATAGGAACCGTTTCAATGACAAACAGAGGATGAAACATCGAGTCCAAGGTTGCCGGGTGAATTATGTGTGGATATTCAAACTTGGCAGGCATCTTGGACTTGGTGTCTGGAACGCCGACTTTGCATACGCAAGCTCCCTCACCTCTGTAGATGCTTGAGATATTCTGGAAAGTTGGACCGTAGTTCATGCCGATAGTGTCCAAGTCTTCATAAAGCTGACGGGAGCTGATGCCTTTCTTGCAGCTATCAGAGAGCTTGTCCAGCTGCTTGTCATGGGCTGTGCTTGGGGCCAAAGAACATGCAGTTCTGTGCTTAAACCGTATGAATCCAGTTGCATGCTGTTCCCAGTCTCGTCCTAGGTGCTTGGAATATATGGAAAACTGGTGGCTGGCCTTGGGTTGCATTTCTCCACTGTGGTCGGTAGTTATCTTGATATTCAGTGCCACTTCCAACCCATGCTCGGTGTTGGGGACGATCATAGCTTTTGAAAGATGCATTTCACTAATCTCGTACCCCAAGAAGCCATCTATTGCAGGTTTTATCTGTTTGGCCCCTTCAAGAACCATAGACAGCATACCTGCAGCCGGATAGACAATAGTTTTCTGTACTTGGTGGTCCTGGATCCAGGGGTTCTCTGAGACCCGAAGGAAGCCACGCCAGCGCGGCTCAAAAGGAGTCGAGTCCGCAGTCAATGCCCCAATAAGATCCTGACGAGGATATGCTCGATTTCTGTTGGCAATACTGAGATGCGACTCATGCCAATATGACTTGTCATGATTCCATGGGTATGGGGGGAGATTGGACAGGCACTTCATTCTTTGGGTTTCACCTCGAGAAATGACTTGCTCCATATTCAGGAAACAGCCTTCGGTCCAAAGATTTCCCACAAGTCCCAGGACTTTCAAAATGCCATTGATCTTTGGCTGCATAATGGAATAGTGTGTGGGAATCGAGTCTTCGCGAACAATGGACACCATAGTTTCTCTCGTAGGCGACCGCAGGGCAGCTCGAGGGCCGATTTCGATGAGGATCTCTGGGCGAGCTTCGACTGGCTGTTCCATCATGGACGTTACCGCTGCAACAAATTGCACCGTATTGACCATGTTATCGGACCAATAGTGTGGCCCAAGCTCTTCTCCCCGAACAGAATTCCCAGTGACAGAAGAGAACATTTGAACGTGGGTACGGAACTCTCTCGGTTCTATAGATACGAGAGAATCTCTGTAATCGTGCTCGACAAGCCGCATATGGGACGAGTGATACGCAGTCCGGACTTTCAGAATGCGGCAAAATACCTTTTGTTTTCGTTCAGCAAGGTCTTCGGCAATGGCCTCTATGGCTTCGACTCTGCCTGATATGGTGGTTGATGCTGGACTATTGACACAAGCGATCTCTGCCGAAAAATGGCCATCTTCCAAATATTTCCGTGTCTCATCGAAGGACATACCAATCACCATCATGGCTCCTTTCAACTTTGGAGCGCGGAATGGCATGCTGATAGCAGCCAATCCTCGGAAATAGGCTATTTCCCAGGCGTGAAATCGAGAAATGGCACCTCCAGCGTAGGCAGCGGCTATCTCTCCCGACGAGTGGCCAATTACACTTGTAGGTGACACACCAAAAGTATGAAGGAGGTCGACCAAGGCTACCTGGATTGCTGTTGTAGCAGGCTGTGCAATGTGAGGATAGGAAATGGCTGAATCAGATTCATCCCTGAGAATCTCTCTTATCAAGTTAAAGGGCGATTGGAGACAATGCAAGAGGTATTCGCTTGCCCCTTCAAGGCTATTCCTGAAGACTTGAAACTGCATCAAATCCTGGCCCATCTTAGCCCAATGGGTTCCTTGGCCAGAGAAGACAAACCCGATACGTGGCTGTGATTTTCTCACGGAACGAACAGTTTTAGACGATCCAGCAGTTTCAAGTTTGGCCACAAGTTCTGTGATCGACTTTGCAACGATGAATCCTTTCCATTCCATAATTGACCGGCGGCAAGAAAGGGTGTATGAGTAGTCTGTCAGCAACTCCCGGGGCCCTGACTTGGCCTGCGCCTTAATATACTCCGAGTGAGAGCCCATTATACGTGACACTCCACTCTTCTCATGAGCTGAGTAGCAAAAGAGCTGGTAGTCATTTTCTCGGGGCTTTGTAGCATCCTTATCAAGCGTGAGTTTGTCGGGGCTTGAAGAAGGCATATCAGCGGAGCTATGATTTCCGACCAAGTCACGAGATTGCAAGTATTCCGATGCCTCATCCAGAATGACGTGGGCATTGGTACCCCCAAAGCCGAAGCAATTAATACTCACTCTGCGAAGCCCAGGCATGGGCCAGTCCATAAGAGACGTGGGGACCTAGATGATCATTCAGTATCGAAAAGATTGCGTTGCGCAAGTCTCATGTTGCTTACTTTTACCTTCCAATTTTCGAAGTCTATATCCGGGTTGCCAGTTTTGAAGTTAATATTGGGCGGAATCTTGCCTTTTTCAAGAACCATTACTCCTTTAATGATTCCGGCAACTCCTGCAGCACCCTCAAGATGGCCGATGTTCGGCTTTACCGATCCAACCACAATTGGTTTCCTGATATCTCGGTCGGCTGCCAGTGTTTCAGAAATGGCCTTGAGCTCTCGCCAATCTCCTGCCTGTGTTCCTGTTCCATGACACTCAACATATGCAGTCTGGTCAAATTCAAGGCCTGCAGACTTGTACACGGTTCGGATGTTTGCCACTTGGGCCTCCTTACTGGGGAGAGTAATTCCTGCAATGATCAGCTTTGCGACGTAACAGAGGGTTCACGGAAGGGATTTACCGGTAGTTCGACCATCTTGGTTAACTGAAGTGCCACGAATGATAGCTCGAATTGTGTCGTTGTCTCGAAGAGCATCAGAGAGGCGTTTCATGATAACCACGCCGATACCTTCTCCACGACCGTAACCGTTGGCTCTTTCATCAAAGGTAAAACACTTGCCGTCTGGACTTAGGAAGTTCAATGCGGTCATTGGCATCATGGTGCTTGGCGTGAGAATCATGCCAGCCCCTGCTGCTATGGCCTGCAGAGTATGTCAGTACTTCAAAGATAAACAAAGCCTTACAAATTTCCGAGAGAACCCACTAGCGACGACTCCCTGTTACGAAGACTCTGAGCTGCCAGGTGGACAGATACCAAACTGCCACTGCAGCCAGTATCAACCGTCACACTAGGTCCGTGGAAGTTGAAGAAGTACGATATCCGGTTTGCCATGATGGCAATGCCATTTCCAGTAGCGGCATATTGTGGAGACCAATCAGGGTCTCGAAGACATACTTGTTCGTAGTCTTGACAGTATTAGGATGCTGCGTTTGTGATTGTTGGGAATGGACGGGGGCCTGCCGCTGTGACTTACCTTTGACAAACGATCCGACATAAACGGAAGTATCGCTTCCGTAGACATCTTCCTTTTTCAGACCAGCTATTTTAGTATTAGTAATTTGTTTCAACTGAGTGGAGGTAAGGCGTACCATTTTCAAGTGCCTCGTAAGAGACTTCCAACAGCATTCGTTGCTGGGGATCGATCGCTTTCGCATCTTCTGAGGGAATGGAGAAGAACTAAATGCATTTAGCCGGCCGGCCGCCATCTATTACAAGAATTTCCTTTGTATTTACAGTGGTATCGAAAGCTCTAATGTCTCCTTTGAGAAGATGTGCTCCCTTAAACGAGATCTGCAGTTAGGTTAGCACCTGCAAGACTTGGACGAACGTCATGACGCTCACTTACACTTCCTTGTCGATCTCCGCTGGGATGATAATATCCATCAATATTTAGTCGTTCTTTAGGTATCTCTGACCACTGTGACTCTCCAGCCTCTAAAACCTTCCAAAGGCTCTCCGCATCGGTGGCTTCCCCAGGAAAGCGAAGGCCAAGACCTATGACGGCTATGTCATCGTCCATGGTCCGGTGTGGAGGACAGCTGCCGAAACCGGGCCGTATAATGAAAAAATGCGCGTCTCAAATAAAGGAAACAAGGTGAGGAGAAAGGAGTATTCTTGAAGACTAGCAAAATAAAGATGGAAAGAGTCATTCAAGTTGCGGCAGGGGACCTTCGGGGTTTTGAACCAAAGCATCCAGCGCTGTGAATCTGCCAACCAACGCAACTCTCTGCATTAAACCGCCACTCACAGTTCCGGAGGCCTATGAATATACTGAGGCAACAAAAGAGACGGTAAAGTAATAAAAGTCCTCACATTTAACCCACCCAGTGCTAACCGGCCGAAGGCGCAGGACCACACAGACCAGAGGATCCGCACGGAATCGGCAGAGAAATGGGTCTTTAGAAGGACTTTATTCCAGACTGAAGACGGTGGCAACGCAGTTGGGATAATGGTTGCATGTAACCATACTTGTCGAGCTTCAACGCATGTATTGGCTTGTGGTATCTTATGCATCGACTCTATTTGAGCAAAGTAAAGACCAGTGGTGATGGTGGTCCAGCCCAACCGGCCAAGGTCCCGATACGTCAGCATCACCAACAGAAGGCTTGGGATATGGCAGTCTCGAACTGACTCCATGGATCCAGAAACCCAGCCACGATGTTGAGTGAAAGCGGGGACCGTAAGCCTTGAATCGAAAAGATTGTGTCCTGCTGAGATATAATCTATTTAAAGTGAGCTCCGATCCTGGCGTGATCCCACCTGCCTTCATCCTGGGAAATGGAAAAAGCCTTGAAAGACTGCCGGAATGTAGACTTTTCCAACAGACAATATAGTAGAGTACAAAAGACTTGAGAAGCTTCAAGACAAGGCATACTTGGGAGGAAGGATCAACCCCGAGCTGCCACGCTTCCAAACATGACGAAACAGCCAACAGAATCCGGCGTTATCGGGTATGGCATAAGCCGACGTTAGAATTTGGGTCATGTGTAAGACCGAAGCTGTCAAGCTGAAGGTAAAAGTGCCTTGCAGGATTCTCTCAACCACTCATGGTTTATCCTATTAGATCCTTCCTGGATTTCTTGAATACCCCACACGATCGTATCCTGGGGATCTTTTGGCATCTTGCTGGTCAACTCACGACACAGACTATGCAAAGTATGCGCAATTAGGCCGACGCCAAAGTGACTGCATCACGAATGCATGACGGTGGTCACAGCCAATAATTTGCCCCAGTCGCCTGTCATTGCATATGCCATCGACGAGACCTCTCCTCTGATAATCAGAAATCATGTCGGCCCAGTTTTGGAGAACTGTTCTTTGGGACATCTTGCACTCGTAGGAATACAGGTTAGGTGGATAATAAGAGATACGGAGAAAGAGACAGTTTTCCGAGCTTTCCTCGAGATATGAACGCTCCAGCGACTACCCGTGAACTCGTCCTCTCATACTTACGCATATTGATCGAGCTGTGCTTGGTAGATGCCAGGTGCTCTTGGAACTGTACTCATTACTTGCTGGCATGCGGCTGCATCATGGCTACTGCGAAATGGGGTTATTGGTCCTAACCCCGGCACCCTGGTAGACGCAGTTGTCAGCATTGACAACGGATATGATCGCTGCATGGCCTCAGTCCCGTTGAAGATCAACAAGGGAAAGTCAGCTATTGTCAATTTCCATGCCTGCTCGGGATGCCCCACATTCGATGTCTTGGACGTAGCCTAGATATAATCAGATGAGGCACATTTTGGAGTGAAGCACCCCTAGTTCAGGCAGAGTCGGGGCGTGCACGGTGGCGTTCGGGTTGGTCGGCCAGTCTTCATCTCTCATAGGTCCATCTACCCCATGATTTGTGTCGGCTGTAACCCTCTAGTCTTGGACTGTAGGACCGTCACAAGGTCTCATACATGCATGTATGCAGTCTGAGGCAAATCAGACGTCCGTTGTGATCGACATGGTACCTCAACTTGATGTCTCTCACGTCCGGTGTCATGGTAGAGTGATACCAGTTGAATAACTACATACCCGGGGCTACTGATTTGACTGTTAACCTAAATTGGGCATATCAGCGTCGCAGATTTGCGTAGGAGTAGTGGTGAAAAACTTGCTTGGGCTGTCCGACTGGTTTGTGAAAGGGTCTGGTAAGCAACTATGTGTTGAATCTGACGTTTGACTTCTCTAGGTTGTCGGTTTGAAGAACCCAAGTACGACTGTCAACAAAAGATTCGATGGGTAACTGAGACTACACTTGGCGTATTCACTAAGCGCTGCAGTTTCAAGAAAGTATTACGTTGGTTAGTGCCTGGTGAACTGTCGTTAATGCTGTTTGTAAGGGCGGACCACACGGTTTTCTGCGCTCTTAAGTGCATAAGAACAAACAATAATAAAAAAGCAAAGGAAAGTGGAAGGGCGTCTTCTCTGGTGGGGAAAAAAAAAAAAAACTCCATAAAATTTGTGCCGGTACTCACTGTACTTCGATTCTACTTGGGCCTCACTGCGTTTCTTAAATTAGGAAGACCCATGCCGACGCACGGACAAGAGTTGGCAGCGTTGGATGTAGTCTGGTCATCGAACCCATGTATGTAGTTTCCCAGGCTTTTCCAATGAAATCCACACCATCTGATCTGGAATAGACGCACCATTGCCAGCACAGGAGAGGGCGAGGCCAAATCAAAGCACCATCGAAAAGCCCAGGATTGAATCTAGCATTTCTTTTCAAGCCACGTCGGCCCAGAGACACCATCCCAGGGTGACAGTTGTCCACGGGCTCGGTCATGCCGGCGCCCAGTAACCTCGTCCAACTAATGGACTAAGGCAATGTTGTATCCTGTACGAGCCTGGTGTAATACTGTGATAGCAGAGGGCGGGCTCGCTAATTGGTCATGTATGGCCGCCAGCAATACATGGCCTGCGCAGTTGTGGACGCGGGATACGCTTGGCCGTAGCATTGCCAGGAATTGACAGCAGCCACTTCACTCATTGCTCCAAACGGGACTGATCCAAGTGAAGATGGTGTAGGGAATGGTTTGTTACACGGACTGGGTCGTTGGTATGAGTGGCCTCTTTTTATGGTATACTCCCGCTTGCTCCACACAGCCGAAATATTTGAATGCTGCTCAGAGCAGAAATCCGATGGATTGTAACACACACACCATACACGTTCTTGGTCTTAGTCTGCTCCATGTCTCAGTAATCTATTGTACGTGTGGGATTTCGACTTGGGGCGTAGAATCTTTCTCTTACACTGCTATTGAAGATTCGGTTACTCTCCATTGAAACCAAGGCCATGTCTAGCTTTCTCTGATGGCGTTGGCTTTACAAACGGGAGATCCATTAGCCCTTGGAGATGATGTCAATGCATGAGTCTCCAACAAATGGGTGGATTGGGAGATCAAAACGGGCGTTTGTATGACCGAGTCCTGCACAGTTTGTCAAAGACATTTTTGGTTTGAAACGATACATGTCAAGAAAAGTTGAATGTCGCTTAATGGGTCTCTTCCCGTGAGAAAGTTGCAACTCTAAGCTGGAGCAGGAGCGAGGCAGGAGTGACCATGGCTCAAGTGCTCTGCTCCTTCCAGTTCATAGCACAGACCGGACCAAACTTGCGTCACACTCTGGCGAGCCTCGTCTGTTTCGGCTGATAATTCACTGCTTGCCACAGCTTAGCGAAGTTCACAGCATCGCCCGAGCCGTATGAGTTTCGTTTCTTCCCTTGCCCCTCTCTTCGTCTGAAGACTTCTCTCTTTTCCTTTGGTATTCCTCTCTGCTTCAGCGCCGACTCGTTGCCAGACCAGAACAGTCAACGACACCCAGTTATACATTCATTTCCCCCCCATTTCGCACTTTTTTTCTTGGACCGCTTTCATCTTAGTAGCATCATGATGGGCGACTTCCAGATGTCGCTCCCTTACCCTAACCCTTCCCTTAGTCAGATGCCGTCTATACAGAATCCAAATATATCCCGGGCAGACCAAACCGCGCCTTCCCCGGCCAGAAATCACCACAATGTGAGCGGCATTCGCCAGAAAGTTCTCATGGCATCGTATGTGCTTTCGAAGTGTGGAAACCTTACCTGGACAGTAGTCGGCTGACTTCGTCTATGAACAGCCTGCTTGTCGGTCTTCTATTTTCCAGCCTGGACACCTCTATCGTTGCTACTTCTCTGGTTACCGTCTCTCACGAACTGAACGACTTTGCTAATGCTCCGTGGATTATCCTGGCTTATCTGTTGACCTACATGGGTATGCTGACGCTTGACGTGGCATACACTTTTTGCCACTTCGTTAACATCGTCCAGGGTTTGCCGTTTGCATTTCGAAGCTGAGTGACATCTACGGCCGACGAAACATGCTTATTCTGTCCTGGATAATCTTCATCGCTTTTTCAATGGGTTGTGCAACTTCCAAAGGCATGATTGAGCTGTATGGACCGAGATTCTGCTGTTTGTTAGTTTCGCAGCTCACTTTTTGTAGGATTTGCTGTCGAGCGTTTCAAGGTATCGGGGCGTCTGGTCTTTATAGTCTCACCCAGATTGGACTTGTCGAAGTTGGGCCGGTTCATCGGCCAAGTCTAATCGGGGCGATGATTGGAGCCACTCTTGCTGCGGCGTTTGTTTTGGGCCCTCTCGTTGGAGGTATTGTATCTCAACTATCAGATTGGAGGTGGTTGTTTAACCTAAAGTAAGCGGCCCAGCTTCTCCAGTGCCCTATTTAATGCTTACTACCGTAGTATTCCCTTTGGGCTTATAACAATTCTAATACTCACCAACTTTTGGCCGCATGAAGACGTGGCCGACCTGCTTTCCTGGACAGCTTTCAGGAGCATCGATTTCCTCGGTAGTGCCACGCTACTCTGCAGCTCAGGCTTTCTAGTCTTCGCCTTGCAACAGGCTGGCTCACAAGCCCTAGCTTGGCTGAGTCCAGCAATTGTCATCAGTTTCGTTATTTCCGCTTTGAGTTGCATTGTTTTTGTTACATGGGAGGTACACTTGGCACACAAGCGACATCGCCATATCGAGCCAAT